ATTTGATTCTGTCAAGTTGTTTTTCACATCCAGACCTCACTATAACAGTCCATGCCTTTTACATCTAGATGGGATTTCAGCAAACCATTCTACTTGTGGGTAAATCTGAAGACCTCTTACGCATTCAAGAAATACTGAATCCAGCTTTCTACTCACTGCCCATCTCCAGCCCATAAAGCCATGTCATCTGGCCCACAGGGAACACGATGGATTTGGAAATTTGGTGATGGGAAAGTGGTGACAATGAACGCTGCCACCACTCCCCTGCTGCCAAATGTCTAAGTCCTGCAGCCAGATAACAAAGCCCTCTCTGCTGGATCGGGCTGGAGTGTGGTGCAGTTGGTCCGATCTGGCGTGTGTGGAGCTAGGCCAGGGCAGCAGGCTCGATTCAGTGAGCCCAGGACTGGGACCCAATGCAGCATACAAGGCCATGGCCATGCACTAAATCAAACCAATGTACTGACCCCTCACTGGATCAGTCCTATGGACCAATTCCATACACTGACTCCAGCCTGTGGACCAACTCTACACCATTTATCCAGCCAGCATCCCAGAAAGGTTGGCACCACTGTCCTTAAGCAACGTAACCCATGCATTCACTAGAAATCACATCAGCTTTCTATCAGTTTCCAAGCCTAATTCAAGGTGCTGATTTAAACTGCGGAATAAAGTTCTGCAAGGCAACCAGTCTATTTACCTTACAAACCATGACTTTCTCTTTGTACCACCAAAACACTCCAGACCAGCGGATGCACTAAAAGTCTCGAGGGTGTTCTCAGTTGTTGGCATTGACTCTAGAATTTCCATTGCCTACAGGCTGAACAAAGCTGAACAGAGCCAGCTGATCTTCAAAGAACAGTAGGAGGGTCATATCTCCATAATAGTTTGTTCAAGAAGGTACAGTGTACAGCACGGATTTGCTAAATGGGATGATGTTCTTTTCCTTCTGCCTCTCAAAAAGGTGCAGAAAAGGTGCTCTGAGACATGAAAAGAGGGCACAACTTGATAAATTAACACAGGGCTGTACAAGTGGTGGCCCATGTGCTGCATACTGCCCGGCTCCCACCCTATCACTCTGGCTGCCACAGTGGTTGGCACGTGGTGCAGCACAGCATAGGGTACGCAGGTCAAGGCCGGGGTTGTGAGGTGCATGGTGCAGTGGTAGAGGGTGCCTACGTAGACACACACTGCAGTAGTGAAGGGGGGGAGCATCCACACAGGGTCTTTACAGCAGTGCCAGGGCGCAGGTGTGTGGGCATGCAGTGCACCAGGGTGGCCTGGAGGCCTGTGACTCCCACTGATGCAGCCAGCTGGGCATGTGGCCTGCACCCACTTAGAACCTGGACAACCTTGAATAAACATATAAAAGAAAGCTAATTAACATCCCAATCTGTGATGCTGACTTTTTGGTACTTACTTTTATCTTGATTAATCTGTTCTAGTCAACCTGCTTTCTATTTCTTCACATTTTGGGAGGGGAGGCTGACAGGAAGTGTTGCGTTTTTAGGTTTTTTCCATATTTTTCCTAAAACATACTGACTTGTGGCATCATTTTTGATGCTTAGATTGAAGCATCGCTGTCTGATTCCTTTCAATATCTCTGCATTTTCTAGTGGCCTTTGTGAAGGCTGCTTCCAATCATCTTGCCACAGCTCATTAGCATTCCTTCAAAATATGTCTTTTTTGAAGTCTAGCATATCTCTACTACAACCGCTTTGTTTGTTTTTTTAACATACCTTCAGGACCATCTCCTATCTGATAATTATCAGATCACTGGACCCCTGAAGTTCATTTACCTCTATTAAATTGGTCTCAGATGTTTCTTTTTTCCTTGGGTCTAAGCTCAGGATAGCCATCTCTAAATGGGTTAACTTAAAAAAAAAATAATTTTGTAATCCCTTAAAAGCCTATTTTATTACTCTCCAACACACAATAAATGCTAATAATTTCAGGCACCATCAAGGAAATTTAAAACTCCAGTGACCACCTGTTTGGGTTTTGTTGTCCAGCTTCAGATCTCAAGCTTCTGTTGTCCTTAAGATCCTTTCTATCATTCACACTCTGAATAGCCTTTGCATTCATGTTAGCACGCATCATTAAAAAAAACCAAACAAACCCAAAAAACAAGGCCTTCTTTTCCATATGGCCTTGATGCCTTCTGTTCTGTAATGAGCAAACCATGCACATGTAATCACTGTTTCTAAACATTAAATAAGGTATGAAATTATGCTGGGAAGTACACTGCTTACATAATACAAATAATAAGCCTGCTTTAAAAATGAAAAATCACTAAAATACAAGTAGGCATGCTCATTTACTTCCAGACAATAGCATAACTAGGGAAGCTGCCCCTGATGCTCACTTGGAGAGGGGTGGTGAGGGGAAATGGGGGAAAGAAATATCATCACTCATCACTGCCCCAATGTGTCCTGCTGCCTTGGGTACCTGGCTGCTTTGATACACCTAAGTTCCAGAAACAAGAAGGTTACTTATTATTTACATAGTACCTATAGAACGGGTACATCCAAACCTGTTCATGGTATGGAAGGAAGGCTACCTATTATACTATCTGTTCTAGAAAGAAAAACTGACGTATGGAAAAGAATCACCTAGGCACCTAATCACACAGTACAAGTCAGTAGCAAAACTGAGATAACAACCCAGATTTGACTCTCTACCTTGCTGAGTGTTAGAGACCTCATTCATTGCTCCCCACCTAAATGAGTTGTCGCAGAATCGGGGACACATTGTATAAACACCGTTTTTGCTCCTGGGTGTCTTGCGGAATAGTTTTCTGATACAGCTGTGTTGGCCCCGTACAGGATAGGGCCATGGGCCCCAGCTGACCTGCACCTGGCGAGACTGGGCCAGGAGGAAGCAGACTCACCCAGTTCAAACACTCAGCGAAGGTCACCTGATTCTTGCCTGCCACATCTTGGTGCTGAAGATTTGTTTGTTGAGAGGTGGTCTCATCTGCTGTGTGTTGACCCAGATGCGCCTGGTCTGATTCTTCTTTGGGGCAACTACCTCCCCTACACCTTGTCCAAGTGCCACCCAGCTGTTAAAGCTTTTCTCACGCCCTTGGCTGTCAGTGGGGGTTCTCTTTCTTTTCTTTGACCCTTTAGGCCTGCAGTCATCTTGGGCTTGACTCAAGGATATGGCAGCTAAGCTAGTCCTGATGGTCATTCTGTCGAGGCGTGGTAAATGGAAGAAAAATGAAGACCAACACAAATCAGGAAACTGGAACTCAGGTAAGTCTTTCAGCCCAAAGGGCCATTATGACCACTGACGGTGCCCTCCTTCAACAGCACAAGTTGGTCCTGAGGGCACGGGCTACTCTCAACGGCCCAGCCCTATCGCATAAAGGAAATCAAAAAGGAACATAAGAGAAAATCTGGCCAATTTTGCCTCTAAGCTTGGACATATATCTTTCCCTTAGATGCCTCAGCATCAGTCCCCAGCACCTCCACAGCACAGCCGAGTTCCCCATGAGGGACGGGCCCTTTTCCTGGCCCTTTATTAACTCTATTTCATTTGAGTACGGGAGTATGACGCTTGCCCCAGCGTCTGTCCAGTCCAAGATTGTTGCTGGCTTTTCCTTCTCCGTCCACCAGGTGGCAGGGACTCAGCCTAATAGGCTCCACCCTATCTGAAGCTAAAGGAAACAGAAACGCAAACGAAAGACCTTGTCTGGAGTGCTGCCGGCTTTCTCGCAGCGGCCTCATTCTCTTGGTGTGGCTTCCTATTGGCTCTTCTTGCTGCTCTTGTTGCTTCAGACTCAGCACTGGTGTTCCAGGTTACCAGAGCTTTTCCGAGCTCTCAGACTGTGAATCGGGCCTCTCCCCAGCTCCTGGGTTTTCTGCTCCAGCATCCCAACACTCTAGTATTTGAGTTCCCCTCTGGAGTTCATCTTGCCCGTCTTCCAGTCTCAGTGGTGGGCCAGAAATACCAGAACAGCTGTGGGGAGATCTAATCTGGATGGATCAGCTGCTAGTAAAGCGGGCCTCCTGCAGCAGCTTCCAGTCCCTTGTTGTTGCCAGCTCTAGCAAGGAAGATAAGTTGCTTCCCTATGCGGCTGCAGATTTAAAGAGGCTTTTCTCACCTCTTCACAAGCTGGTTGGTAATTTTATGATGAAACAGGTTTGTATCACAAATTAATATTCTGTCAAAACTGAAATGTTTCATAGAAACATACAGGTTGTGAAGCTGAAGCTTCCAGGTTCTGCAGCTCTAGGGAAGCCCTGTTGTGTGGATGGCCTCATGGTTGTGATTTCAGGGCTGGGTCTGGAGAAGCTCCATCATGCCCGTTGCTTCTGAGGATCTGTACTATGTACACAGAAAGCCCAGAGGGCTTCCAAGGTCTGTAGCTCTAGTTTCACCCTGCCATGCAGATATCCCAGTGATCCTAAATCTTCTAGGGTGTGAAGCTCTGGAGCAGCCTCACCATACAGACTTCATAGACCTGAGGTTCTCAAAGCTTTTGGGAACCTGGAGGATCTGCGAGCCCTGTCTATAGTCAGACCGTGGCTCCACAAGGCTCCTCCTGGTCCACAACAAGAATATATGATAACACCAGACAGGCATAACTTCATGGGCTAGAAACAGGACTTGTTAATAACAATGCCTTCCACTGGGCATGTTAGGTACAACAGAAAACAACCAGTTTGTAGGTGTCAAGAACTTAAAACACAAAAGAAAATGTACTAAGCTGGACCATTCACTTACAAACGTACAAGGTAATCTTCATGTACTTGAAGTGCATTTGTTTAAAATAAGTATCTCTAAAGAAACCATCAGGAGAACAGCTTTGGACAGATGCTGCAACTTGCTAAGCACTTTCAACTCCCATCGATTCCTGAGGAGTTGAGCTTGCTCCACCATGAACATGAAAAGCTCAGTTCCATTCAAGCTCTTGTAAAGTTCTTTTGAGGATGCAAACCTTGGGAACATTTTTCATGACCTCAGTACCAAAGTATATTCAGCAGGATTTCCATACTTACGTGTTACGCTCAGATAAATAAAGGGACTTGTCTTGTTTTCTCCATTCTTTTCATTAACAGCCTGGACACAATAGCCACCTGAGTCGGTCACTGAGGTTGTGAGGATCACCAGCTGATTCTCCAGTGTTATGGCTCTGTTTAGGAAAGCAAAATATTGCATTAAAATAGGAACAAACAATATAACTAAGCAGAAACTGTAGAGAACCTCAGATATGACAAGACTGTACGATATCCATAGGTCATCTATGCAGAGATGCCTTGAACTGGAGAACAGGCCTCTAACTTCAAACACATCCAGAGACAGTATTTAAGAGCTTCTGAGTCTTTGAAGTGTCTAAGCCTTTTCTCTTTTTTGTTTAACATGTGTATGATGTTTATAGTGGCACCCAGAAAGTTATAATGTGAGATAAAAAATATAAGTAGCAGTAAGAAGCTAGGTAAGGAACAATAAATGACAATGCGGCATTATAACTGGTGGTCCGTATAGTTGTGGCAGAAGATCCTGGCAAGCAGCATTTTGTTGCAAACCCTTGAAACCTTTCCAGCAAATGAAAACTACCCTATTAAGGGTCACTATTCTGGGAATAGGAACATCCCACTCAGTGAAAAATCAAAGACAAAAGAATCTCAGGAGGTAAATGTTCTATATTTATGGCTTGGGTTAATTAGCTACGCTTCATATACAAAGAGCAAGAGCTGGAACAAGAGACTAATTAATATGCTCAGCTGAGGAGTCATGTGTACAGAGTGAGGGAAGAGCAAAATTATTTACTTTAAACCAGGTAAGAAAGCACAAGTGTGTAGTTAGTGGTGGCACACTCCTGAGGGAGTCAATCAATGCCATGGTTTAATATAAGTTCACTCTTGCTTAAGGCTGCTACATAACAGATGTCTCCATAAACTGCTTCATGAGCGCTACCTGTTTGACCTGCAATCAGGTCAGCTTGTTTGCATTTTAGATAAGTGGTATGGTCTTTTCTTTGACCACGTTAGATGCAGGGTGAGTCTACATGAGATGCTTTACTGCACAGTAGAGCTAATTACTGCACAGTAAGCATCTGTGTCTACACATGCAGATGCTTACTGTGCAGTAATGGGCTCTAATTATGAATAAATCTGCTATCTGCAAATGCAAGTAGCAAATTTAATCATGATTAGTAACTGCACAGTAGTGCACATCTAGACACATGACTGAGAACAAATGTGTTCCTAGTCAGCTGGGCAACAGGGGGTGGGATGTTGCTCCCTGCCCCCAGGAGCTACCTGCTGCTGGGGTGGGCTCTGCCAAGACAGCCTGGGCAGTGACAATGCCTCCCTGCCCTGGCAACAGGGAGCTCCCAGCTCCTGCTCTGCGATTGCAGGGTCAAGGCTGGGAGATCCTTATCTCTCAGCCCGAGTCCTGCTGTCTCAGGACCCGGTTACAGGACCCAGACCCACAGGAGATAAGGATCTCCTAGCCTGAGCCACGCAGTCCAAGGACCCAGGCTGGGAGATCCTTCTCTCCTAGCCTGAGCCCTGTAGTTATGGGGCCTGGGTTAGGAGATAAGGATTAGGGTTAAGAGATAAGGAACTGGCTGAGGTCATTGCAAGTCCCCTGGCACGGCTTTACAAGCACTCGTGGTGCTCTGGAGAGGTACCGGAGGACTGGAAGAGGGCCAACGTGGTTCCAATCTTCAAAAAAGGGAGGAAGCAGGACCTGGGAAACTACAGGCTAGTTAGTCTTACCTCGATCCTAGGCAAGCTGTTTGAGAAAATTATTCTAGCACACATTCAGGAGGGGCCAGCAGGGGACTGCATGCTTAGGGGCAACCAACATGGATTCATCAGTGGCAGGTCCTGTCAGACC